GCTAGGGATTCGAACCACCGAACTGCCGACCTTTCTGATCGACAAGCTCAGCATCTTAGCCCCTGAGCCACCGCGTTCCCTCTGGCATATGTACATAGGATTAAGTAGTATATTTTGGATGTTCACTAGTAGTAAATAAATAGACATTCAAAGTTACAACAACACTGAAAAAAAGAGACTTATGGTTGTTTTTCACACTTATGATCCTGGCAGCAACCCTATGGTGACATGATCAAAATTCAGACGCTTGGCAACTGGCTCACATTTATGACGGTTGCCATGTCCCCCAGGGTCGTGCGATCCCGTTTTGCGACCTTCGGACAAGCAAAGTCCATGGGGGAAGCCAAGATTCACTGAGCAGCCGTGTTGCTCACTTAACAACTGCAGTGATTCGCTTAACAATTACAGCGAGAAAGGTTCGCAAAGTGAGGCAAAGCTCACTTAACGGCTGTCTCCCTTAGCAACAGAAATTTGAGTCTCCACGGTAGGCGTAAATAGAGAACTTATGCCTGTCGCCATAAGTGCGAGTCATGCAGGTCACTTCTGTCGGTGCTGTTGTAATGTTGAACGGTCGCTAAACGAACGGTCGCAGGTTGAGGGCTACCTAGAATAAGAGCCAACTCCTCTTTGAAAATCGGCAAGGCATTTTCACGATTGCTCTTCCAAGGGAGAAACGGGCTTGCTCTTTAAAAAAAAGAAAAGAAGGAGTTATGTTCTTTGAAAAGACATCTGCATTTGCCATACGACAGCAGATCGAAGAGAGTTATAAATAAACCGAAAAATGAATGTATAAACTTTTAACCAGAGCACCAGTGAACTCCTGTGAGGTTTAGCCTTTAGCCCTGGTAAAAGCCAGATATGTTTGGCTTAATTTAGTAGGGGCACCAGTGCGCTTGGGGTGTCAAAGGCAGCCTCTTCCTGTGAGCTTCCTGATGCTGAGCCCCGAGTCTCCTTTCTCAAAAGCCTCTGTCTTCTGCGTCCTGCTTTGTAGCCATCAAGCGGTCTCTTCCAATTTAGCTTAGTGGGTTGTATTGTTGTGGCCCGCCAGCGGTCAGCAGAGCTGGCAGCAGAGTCGGACAGGGAGGAGGTTGGGGAGGAACCTGGGCCAGTCCTGGAGGCTGGGGAAGGCTTGGCCGAATGCTCTGTGTTGGAGGCAGAGAGGGGGGTCGAGTCTGTCTGGCACTTCTCAGCTGCCTTTGGAGCTAGACAGCAGTGAGGCAGAGGAACAGCTGGAGCCTGTTCCCAGTGTGCGCATGTGCAGAGCTGCCAGAAGAAAAAAACAGCTCAGAAATCAGGGTCAACTTGGGAGTAAGGTCACAGGTAGAAGGTGAATGGCCCCTCCCATAGGAAATAAAAGAGGAGCAAAAGGGGAGGGAGCTTTTGCAGGAAACAATTTGGTCATTTGGTCATTAGATTCATTTTAGGAGTATGAAGATCTGTCCATGAATCTCAGAGACTCTGTGCCCAATCTTTTCTTACACAGCACTTCGTTTGGAAAACACTTACATGGCAGCTATCCAAGCTAGCTAAGGTCTGTGGTCATAAATATTCCTTTGAAAGACTGTTTGCCAGGCCTTTGTTGAAGGTGAATGAGAGGAATTCACATTCGTTTAATAAAAGGGGTTTTGTCGGGACCAGGACTCTTCCTTGTGCTTTTTGGGGAAGCCTAGGTCAGAACATGTATGAAATTATCCCT